TTTTTTTTTTTCTGTATTTTTGTCTCAATCCTCGTTGATTGTCACTCCCCCGAATTTTCAAGAACCATTCTTGGCTCTGTTTCTAGGGTTTCTTAATCCGTTCTTGCCGTGAAAAAAGCTCAGTAAATTTCATCCCAAAAAAAATGGCTACTTTAAAGGACGGGGCCCTCCTGAAGCTTCTAGACGACATGAAATCAGACGCGGACGACGCCGTTTTGGTCGACGACCCGCCGAAGCCCGTCTTGCTGCAGATCAGGAGCATCATCCCCGTTCTCGAAGAAGGCGACCTGTGGCCCAACAGGGGATTTTTCCTCAAAGTCGCCGATTCAACCCATGCACTGTACGTCTCCTTGTCCGAAGAGCAAAACGAGATGATTTTGGGTAACAAATTGAAACTGGGTCAGTACATTTACGTCCAGAGATTAAGAAAATCTCATCCCGTCCCCTTGCTGAAAGGGGTGTCCCCAATTCCCGGGCGACGGGCCTGTGAAGGCTCCCCGGAAGATATCATCTTGTCCGGGGATTTCTCCTCGAAGGTTCTAGAAGCTTCCCCAGTCGAATCGGAGGTTGAGAAAGGCGTGATCTTGGAGAAAACGGTTTCGAGAAACCCGTCTTCTTCGAGAATAAAGGCACGTGGGGGGGCATCAGATTCGGAGTCCTCCGGTAAGAAAAAAGAGGGGTTGAAATGCCGTTCCTCGAGCGCATCTAAGTCCCGTCCGGGAGATATTGCTTCGGATAAATATGGTTTTTCGGCTGATGAGTTTAAGAAAATCGGGTTTAGTGATGTGGGTTTGTGGCCTAGAAGCAGGGCGAGCTCTGTTGATAACGATAGTGATGGGGACAGCGTGATTTCTTCGTGTTCGTCTCATGTTTCGAAGAGAAGGAGCTGGCTAGAATCCGAGATTCTGGGAGTCAAGGAGATTTTCGACTCGACTGTTGTCAGGCATGATATCAAATTTCCTCCGAGAAGCCGTAGTGCGAATGTTAGTTTCTATTTTCATTTGTTTGTCATGTTAGGCATTATCGGTTTAAACGTTTGTTATGTGCTGTATGAAAAAAATTTAAAAGGGCTCTTCGAAAAGGAAAAAAAAAAGTTCACAAGTAGGAATTTAAGATTGCATTTTGTTGGCTTGTTTGAGATCAGCTCGAGAATTCAATAGTGGTGATTGTCTTATTATACTGTGTGTGCACGTGAATGACTTGACGAATTTGGTTAGTAATTTGTGAAAGCTGTGTATATGTTTGTTATCTGCTGAATTAGTAACTTGAAGGGTAAGTGCTTTAGTTGCCATTTTTATAGGATTAGTTGGTTTATCAACATTGGCAAAACAAATTATTGTTAAATTTTTATAATTATATGTGTGGACAGGTTTCTCCCGTTCGTTCGGTTAGGTACGACAGCTCTGATGATAACTTGAGCTCGGTATCAAGAAGGAGAAGCATCGGCTCGGCAAAGAGAGTGATCAAGAGTTCGAACAAAAGCCAAGTGCCTGTTCCAAAGGTGGGTAATAACTTGCAGAATTTGAATTCTTTGTGCGGGTTGGTTTGTGAAAGAAAGGGGGCAGAGAGTGGAATATTATGGAGCTCTCTTCCATCAAATTTGGTGAAGCTTGGCAAGGTATTGTTGTAACAAGTACTAACTATTACCTACAATAATGTTAACGTTATACCGTTGTTGTTTCGAATTTTTTCCAGATCTTTTGGATGAAGTAAAACTAGTAAAGTAACTATATATCATTAGTTTATGTTGGCTTTCCCTTGAGCTGCAGGAAGTGGTAAGGCAAAGAGACAATGCCCTGCTTGCTGCTTCTGATGCTCTGCAAGAGGCTTGTGCTTCAGAAAGATTACTCAACTCCTTAAGGTTGTTAAGGCTTGTTTCATTTAGTTTTCATGCTCAATTTAGTTTTGTTCATCTCTATTTCCCCACACAAACTCTAGGAGCTTACAGTATAAATGCCCAACACACTATTATATGTAATTCTTCTTTTTCCCCTTGTTTTTTTTTTTTATTTTTTTTATTTTTTTATTTTTTATTTTTTTATCTTAATCTGTATTGCAGCACATTATCTCAATTTCCTCTAGCTGAAGGTGAAGATCTCCAACCCCACGTCGATCGGTTCTTCAAACTCCAGCACGAGCTGGCCCGCACAGCCCTCATCATGCAGTCCCTCACCACCATAAGCCCATTTGGGCCTGGCCCAGTACCCGACCCGTGCACCACGACCCAAACAAACTCAATAAAGGACACGCTCGATACAGCCCTCGAGCGCAAGAAGAAGGCCATGACCTGGCTGAAATCCGCCGTGGCCCTCGACCTCTCGACCGGTGGCACCCCGAAGAAAAGAAGCAGCCCTGCTGCGCCTTTGAAATGCGTCGAAAGCTCGAAATTCTGTTCTAATTCGAAAAGCATCGTGAAGAGGAGCCGAGTCTTGAATCACCATGACAGTCCACTTGTATTATTGGGCTCTGCTCGGGAGGACCAACCCGAGTGGGCGAGGGGCGGAAGTCTCGGGCTGTGTGCTGAGCTGGCGACGTGTTTGCAGGAAGAGTGTAGGAAGCTTTTCTTGGGGTACGTGGAGAGGTACTTGGAGGAAGTGGAGACGAGGATTGGCTCGGATGTTGAGGACAACGCTGAGGTGGCGGGCATGATGTATAAGGTGAAGATGGTTAGCGATTGGCTGGATTTGATTGGGTCGGAGGGTGGTGGGGCCCACGAGAGGGTGAGGGCCAAGATTTACGGGATCTTGCTGAGTAATGTCGAGAGGACGGCCGTGGCTTTTGAGCGCGCCAAAGGGACCTTTTGAAGGGGGTGGTGGTTAATTCTGTGAAGGTAAAAAAATGTGTTTGCTTACTGAGGTGTGTTGTGTCTAATGCAACCCAGGCTATACGGTGGTATAAATAGTGTAAAAAAAAAAAAAGTGTGTTCTTATAGGAAATATACAATATATACGGTGGTATAAATAGTAACAAAAAAGGGTTAGGACCATATGGTGTACATAATTGGATAGTGGTGGTGACTGGTGAGCGGGGTCGCTATATGTACTGATTAAGATTGCAGAAAATGTTTTTCACGTGTCTTCTTGCCTTGGCATCTTATTGATGTGTTAGTTGTGTTTGATTGTGCTTTTGTCCTTTTAGCTACAATAATGATGTTATAGGTAAATGCTACGGTCTCGTTACGGAACCATTCCGTTGGGGTTTGTAATCGTTAACCGTTAGATCATCATGTAGCCGTCGAAGATAGTTGATCTAAAGGTTACAAAACTCGACGGAATGATTCCGTAACGAAACTGTAGCATCTCTCGTTGTTAGAATACATAAAATTCTATTATAGGGCACAATTTTAACAGAATCAATTGCATTGTTGGTGTGTATTTTTTTTTTTTCTGGAAATATGGTTTTTAAATTGTGAAAAATCAATGCAAGTACAACCTATTCAAGCCGTGTCCTAATTGATGTGCTTTCGAGAGGTCCTCAAACCCAAAAAATAGAGCAATCAAACACTTCCTGAAAAAAAAGAAAGACCCAAATCAAATATAAAATAATAAATTATTAATCATAATTAATAAGGTCATAGAATATTAGATTGATAAACATTAATTTAATACCAATATTATTTTTTAAACACCCACATATATCGGTGTTGTATTAGTTTATTATGTAACATAAAATTTTAACAGGAACAAGGCTCATTTTTCATAATTATATTAAGACCCAAATTAAATTTACATTTTTAAGTTATTTCCAATTTAAGGCTGACTTTTATATTTGATATCTCAATATATCCAACCACTTTATTTCATGATATTAATATGTGAATCAAACTATTATTCTCTTGTAACTTTACATACTCATAATAAGAAGTAATAACTATCTTTAGTAAAACTGCCTTAATAAGAAAAGAAAACGAATATATATAAATTACACTCATGCAAAAGTTTAATAAAGATTACTTTAAAAACTTGATAAGTGAATCTGAATAATACATAGTTGAAATATTGTTCTCATTAATAATATAAACACGCAATAAAAGTAAGAAGTAATATTTAAATAGACATTTCAATTTTTTTTTTACTTCGCCTTTGTTTTCTAGGTTTATTACATACTTAGATTTTGTTCTTTAGTTTTATTGCATAGTTAGATTATCATTAAAAAAATATGTAAATTATATATTATAAAGTTTTCTTATCAATTTTTTGAAATTAAAATTTACTATTTTTTTATATAAATATGTGAGTGAATGAATAGTAAATTATACTGAAAATTACGTGATAAATATTGATTAATATTATATAATTATATTTATAATATGAAAGAGAGTTAGCTTGAATTAAAATTGATTTGAATTTTTAATAAAAAATTTGTATTGAATTATAAGAAAATGCTACAGTCTCGTTAGTGAACTATTCCGTTGAGATCTGTAACCGTTAGATCATCATGTAACCGTCGTGGATAATTGATCTAATAGTTACAAGCCCCGACGAAATAATTTCGTAATGGACGATAAAATCTCCCCAAATTATAACGATGAAGGGGTAGATTATCGATCATCCAAAAACCCAAAAAATCTTTAGAGTGAGAAATTCAATCTTAAATTTACTATTCTAAAATATTTGGCCTTGGAATAGAATTTCTCCAAATTTAACATAGGACATGCCGAATCACCCAAAACAATGAATAAAATTATAAACCACCACCATTGATTTTTAGAAAAAGATAAAAAAAAGAATAAACAACGTTAAATTTCCACATGTTCTGCGATTTAATCACTAGAGAACGCCTGTGATTGTCCGCAACAAGTGCGTGGTTATAAATTAGAGTTAATTGTTAAATAAACCTTAACCATTCAATTTTATCTCAATCTTTAGCTAATTGCAATATAATCTCGACCTCAATTTATTTATTGCAAGTCGAACCTAAAACCGGTCAGAACTTAAAAAAACTAGTCGATTTGAAGGCGGTTCAAACAGATCGGAGCTCATATTTACGGGTTCACTCCAGATCTAGGAGGAGACTTATCACCGGTAGCTTACATTGACGTGGAATTTTCGGCTCTGTGTGTGGATATACATTACCTATATGGAATTGTCAACTTGCTACGTGGATGACATAAAAGCTTGTGTCAATGGAAGACTTGGACACAAAATGGATCCACAAATTCCTAAAACCAATCACTCTGCACCCAAATTTACAATAAGTAAATTGAGGTCGAGATTACTTTGCAACTACCTAAAGATTGAGATAAAATTGCCAAACGCAAAAAGGTTAATATTTATTTAGCAATTAACCCTATAAAATACTACTATATATCGTCTTCACTGTAAAAAGTCTCTTCAAAGTCTCCTCCAACAACCCAAAATATCGCGCACTTGCACACAAACAGTGCGTCTTTTCCAGTGAGTTATCACAAGAACACGAGAACATTGATTGAGGACAAGAAACCCTTAACAAATCGTTCTGGGCTTCGCCTTTTTCTTACATTTGTAGGTCAATAAAGCTTAATGGGGCGTTCTAAAACTTCAAAAGTTGCAATCTTGCTGGGGTTTTTGCTGCTAATTTTATCAGATTTTGTGTGGGGGCGATTTGTGGTGGAGAAGAACAGCTTGAAGGTAATATCTCCAGAGAGCATCAAAGGGACCCACGATAGTGCCATTGGCAACTTTGGTATTCCACAGTATGGGGGAAGCATGTCTGGGACTGTGGTTTATCCAAAGGATAATGAGAAAGGGTGCAAAAGCTTTGATGGTACTGGGACTTCTTTCAAGGCTAAACCTGGAGCTATGCCTAATTTTGTTCTTGTTGATCGTGGAGGTACATATTTTACTTATTTTTTTTATTGGTTCTTGCTCGGATCTTTCATTTGTCTGAAAAAAAAAAGTAGTCTTGATTGATGCTTGCATAGTTAATTAGCTTGTTTTTGTGTTTGATTTGAAGTTGCTCACTTTAAGTTAGGTTTAAGGGTTTGTCTGAGGTAAATGATATGGCTTCGAGAGATACCGTGTCGAAAAGTTCATGTGTTTTTCTACCAATGTGTTTCAGGGTTTCTTTCCTGGCTGTGTTAATTTTAATTTGCACTTCGGAGTTCGAAATTTCGATTTGTAGTCTTTAGTTTGTTTTAATGGTAAGCTTTTTTCGTGTTTTCGCAACCGAATTGTATGTGGTTGGTGAACTCTTTGTAATTCATGATATTTTCGTAGCTAATGTAGTTCACTCAAAGGATTTCTAAGCTTGATGTACTGTTGTATGTACATTTGATATTTTTTTAGTTTCATTCTTTCATATTTGTAATCATATTTCCCATTCAACTTAAAATATTTTGTTATCATCTAATTCCCTCCCATCTTTGCTGTTTTTAAAGTCTTGATATTATTAACTATTCTTATAAGTAACATTGAGTAATGGCTAATTTGTTTAAGAAATTCTTCCGCGGCGGCACCCAAGGTCCGGATGTTACTCCAGCTACTTGACAAAGACTCAAAATTTAAATCTTTACTGTATTTATATATTTATTTTACTTACTAAAATCAATAATTTCCACTTACCTTGCTACCCCTCCTATATAGGCTATATCTGCTGGAATTATCTATATAGGCTCTGCATGGCTACTTACCAACTTTTCCTATTACTGCAGATTGCTTTTTCGCGCTTAAAGTATGGAACGCCCAAAATGCGGGTGCTGCAGCCGTTTTAGTGGCCGATAATCGAGACGAAAATTTGATCACAATGGACTCGCCCGAAGAGAGCGGCTCGTCCGCCGAATACATCGCCAATATCACAATCCCTTCTGCTCTCATTGACAAAAGTTTCGGAGAGAAACTGAAGACAGCGGTCAACGGAGGCGAAATGGTCAACATAAACCTCGACTGGCGTGAAGCCGTCCCTCACCCGGACGATAGGGTCGAATATGAGCTCTGGACCAACAGCAATGACGAGTGTGGCGTCAAATGCGATATGCTGATGAAGTTTTTAAAAGATTTTAAAGGCCCGGCACAGATTCTCGAGAAGGGTGGGTACACTCAGTTCACGCCTCACTACATCACTTGGTACTGCCCGCAGGCTTTCACGATGAGCAAGCAGTGTAAATCTCAGTGCCTTAACCATGGTAGGTACTGTGCGCCCGATCCTGAGGAGGATTTTAGCTCGGGTTATGATGGGAAGGATGTGGTGCTTGAGAATCTGAGGCAGCTTTGTGTTTTTCGGGAGGCTAAGGAAGAAAAGAAGCCATGGGTTTGGTGGGATTACGTTACAGATTTTCAGATTAGGTGCCCAATGAAGGAGAAGAAATACAATGCAGAGTGTGCCGAGGGTGTTATTAAATCTTTGGGTAAATATGTTCTGATGATGCCATTTGTTTCGTGTGGATTATTTTGTGTTTTAATGTTTGTTTGCGTTTTGGTAACAGGGCTGGACCTAAGGAAAATTGAGAGATGCATGGGGGATCCCAATGCTGATGTGGATAATCCCGTATTGAAGGAGGAGCAAGAGGCTCAGGTGAAAAATATTTTTATTTTTTATTTTTGCAGTCGTGATGGTTAATCAATCATGTAAAGTGACACTGATAAGAGAAACTTCTGTAGATCGGGAAAGGGACGCGTGGAGATGTAACTATTTTACCGACACTTGTCGTGAATAATCATCAATATCGAGGTGTGTTGAGTTATTTATTTATTTGTGATTCGCATCGAGCATGGTAAATATGATTTGTCAACGATGTGGTTTGTTGTTTTGTAGGGAAATTGGAAAAAGCTGCCGTTTTAAAAGCTATATGTGCCGGTTTTGAAGAAACTACCGATCCAGCAGTTTGTTTAGGTGATGGTATGTGTTATATACCTATTTTTTTTTATTAATTTATTTCAATGCTCGAGTACCACGAGAGCTTGTTTGCTGAAAATTTTTTCGTGTGCAGATGTTGAGACGAACGAGTGCTTGAACAATAATGGTGGCTGCTGGGAAGACAAAATAGCTAATATCACGGCTTGCAAGGTTTTCTAATAAAATTTACAGTTTTTTGTGTGAAATGTTCTATCATTCTTACATATTTGTGCTCTGCACGTTTAGGATACCTTTCGAGGAAGAGTTTGTGAATGCCCTGTAGTCAATGGCGTGCACTTTAAAGGAGATGGCTACAGTTCTTGTGTTGGTACGTAACTCTTTCTCTCTTTCATTGTGCACAATATTTTAGTATGCTTTTTTAAGTTTGGACAATTTTTTTTTTGTATTGTGAAGCAAGTGGGCCCGGGAGGTGCAAAATAAGCAATGGAGGCTGTTGGCACGAGAAGAAAAACGGGATAACTTACACAGCTTGTGCGGTTAGTCTAACATTCTTATAATTTTTTCTGTTGTAATCCCTCGGCTAGAAATTTGGTCTTTTATCGTCATGTTTCATATTTTTCTAACAGGATAGTGAGGAGGGAAAATGCGAATGTCCTCCAGGATTGAAAGGCGATGGTGTTAAAAGCTGTGAAGGTAAAAGTAATTTCATTTTGAACTTTTTTCGTTCGAATTCTTACTTTGCTAATATTTTGTGTACATCCACGCTTTTTTTTTTTTTTTTTTTTTTTTTTTTTATAATCTATATCTATATCTATAATCTATATCTATCTATAATCTATAACGAGTGTGAGTTGTTTCTTGAAACTTTTGAATTGCCAAGAATATCCTCATAAAAAGATAAGTGTTAAGGTTATTAATGTAATTTTCTTATTCATGTTAGGAAGTTACAACTTTTAATTATTATATTTTATTTTTGATGCTTAATTATATCTTTAAGTTCTTACACATACAAAACATTACCTACACAAATTAATATATTTTAAATAATAATAATTATATTATTTTGAATTAATCTCCATATGATGCTAGGTTTCGATTTGGTTATTTTAAAGGCAGTTTTAAAATGTAAGAGAAAAAATTATTTTAAGATTTCTTAAATAAAATATATGATATTACATAAGTGTGAAATATATAATGCATCACTAAAAGTATCATCTTTAATTTTTAAATATTATATTGTTACCATACAAATTTTTGTTTATAGTATTAAAACAATTAAACAGGAACAATTTAGTGAACATGCATATGTTTAAGAATGATATAATCAAATATAATTATTCTAAACATACAAAATGTCAACTTTCTATGTAAAAAAGTTATTTGTTAAGTAAACAAAAGATATAATCTTAACATAAATATTTGTTTAAATTTTTCACTAAAACAATATGCATAATATGATTTATGTTTACCTCTTAATAGTATGTATAGTATAAACGTTTTAATGTGTTACATGAATTAAAATAGCATTTATTGAATTGTAATATAAGCAAAAATAGATTAATTACAGAAATAAAATAAAATAACTAAAATTCTATTTTAGATCTTAAATTTTATAATACGTGTAATTATTAGAAAATTGTTATAATTAAAATTAATTAAATAAAAATAAATAGTGAATTTACTTTAAATATGAATCATTCATTAAAACTAGACTCATTAAATTTTCACATTTAGGATAGTCTTAAATATCTGGGAACGAAGATAATGCATGTATGACAATTTTAGGAGATGCAACAATAATTTATGTTGGACAAGATATGTAGATAGATGAGTATCTTTAATCAATAAAGATGCTATTATTCCTAAGTTTTTTCATGTAATTTTTTTTTTTGAAATAATTATGACTTTAAAGACATTTTCAAATATTTATGTGTCTCTTATGTCATTATGACTAGAGAAAAATTATATATATTTAGGTATTATGAAATGGTATACTTGCAAATATGGCTAATTGCAACCACTATAATCAAAATAATTGAGAACGAATTATTCAAACATAATGTTTTAGCTTCCAATCTACAATAAAAAAATGATCATTATAAATTATAGTTATAACAAATTCGAATTATTTTTCAAAGAGTGATGCAAAAGGATGACATTAGAAAACTATATTTGATGACAATATCAATGATAATTATTTTAAGCAAAAGTAGAGATGAAATGTTGACGAAGATATAACATAATGTTAAGATAAAAAAAAATATGAAGGAATCTTCATTACATAATTCATTTAAACTGGAATTAGTAATTATTCACATTTAGGATAGGCTTGAAAATTCGAGAATGAAGATAATGGATATATGACATTGTTAGGAGATGCAACAATAATTTATGTCGGAAAAGATATATAGATAGATGGGTAGCTTGAATCAATAAAATTGTTATTATTCCTATGCTTTTCAAGTAAATTTTCTTTTTGAAATAATTAGTTAATTACGACTTGAATTAAAGACATCTTCAAATATTTATGTATCTATTATGTCATTATTACTAGGGAATAACTATATATATCTAAGTATTATGAAATATTATAATTACAAATATAATTACACTTGCAACCACAATAATCAAAATAATTGAGAACGAATTATTTTGACATAGTTTGTTAGCTTCCAATCGACAATAAATAAAAAATAATCATTGTAAATTATAGTTATAATAGTATTAAATACTATATTTCATTATTCAATAAAATACACCATTTTTTGTTAAACTAAATGAAAGAAAATTATATTATACTTTTAAATATAAACCTAATACTAAAAATAATTTGAAAAAAAAATACCACGTGCATCGCACGTGCACTTTACTAGCTGTCGTCATTGCATTCGTAGCGACTCTTGCCGCATCCTGCACTGCCCTCAGCACATTTCTATAGACGCCGGCCACCGCGTCTTCCACCCTCCGCAATGCTTGCTGCACTTGTTTTACAACTTCCTGAGTGTTGTTGGCAGCTTACACCGTAGCAACCGTTTCTGTCCGTGTATTTGCTGCTTCATTCATTGCACGGGCGAAAGGACTGCTCACCGCCCTTGCAAGCATATGGTTGACCTCTTCAACCGCCCTATTTTGTGATTCATTCATCTCTGTCAGCCTGGAACGATGAAGATTTTCTTCGCTCGCGTGTTTAATTAAAACCATTGGAAAGCAAAAGGCTGTGGATATGGCTAAGAGAAGAATTTGTTCATACTCTCATCACATCCGCTAAGGAGAAGAATTTGTTCATACTCTCATCACATACCACATATATGCCTGAACCAAATGTTGCGGCTAAGCAATCATAGAACCCCACATTTTCAAATATATATAATGAACACATTAGAGACGCAAATAACATGAATCATTGCACTGAAAATGAAACCAATCGACCCAATATCAGTCAAGATGGAACCGAGCCAGATGCACCCAATGATGAAGAAGATGTCCAGAAATATCCGCCATTTGCGGGATATTTCTCTTATGTCGGGAGACTCGGGACTCCATCTGCAAGCGAGGTAAACTTGGAATAGCAAATAGACAAATATGTACTGCTGGGCTACGGGATGTGCGATATAATAGACAAATGATGGGCCATCGATTGTAAACCTATTATTTGCCAAAGCTGCAGATGTAAATAAGACAATTTCTCAACAATCAGCGAAAGAATGGCTAAGACGAGCCACGGGCGCTAGGACCAGTGTGTAGCGAGTAGGTTTCTCCAGTCTAGAAGATATGTGATGGAAGGGGAGGTCACTGGGAACGCTTGGAAGTCCTTATATAGGAAGAAATATATAGGTGAAGACGACGGGTGAAGTGTACTGTAGAGAGAGGTTATAATAATTAGTGAGGCAAATAGAAAAAAGCGACTGCAGAAGAGATGAGTATTCAATATTTTATTTTAACAATTTAATTGAGTTCTCAACTTCTTTAATTATATGATAAATTAATATTTTTTTGCTATCATACAAATTTATTGAGTTCTTTTAATATATAAATAAGACTTCCAACATTTGAATTACTATCCACAAGAGCTGGTTTGGAGTATATACTTACATATTTTCTCTGTGACTGCCCATTACAAAAAAAAAAAAATAAAAAAAATGACGGAATCAATAAACAAGGGCAGAAATTTGAATATTTAATTAGTTTGTACCTTAATCAATTAATTATCTTACAGTGTCATTGCAGAGTCTTGTTTTGTTTGGTTGCTCATATTGCACTAAAACTAGACTGGCTTTATGGTCTATGTGAAGGTTGCATATTTAATTAGTTTGTACCTTAATCAATTAATTATCTTACAGCGTCATTGCAGGTCTTGTTTTGTTTGGTTGCTCATATTGCACTAAAACTAGACTGGCTTTATAGTCTATGTGAAGGTTGCATGCCACTGGAACAGTCACCTTTTTTACATATTTGAATGAATGATTTGTATTATTATTAATTAATGAACTCTTACAAAATATGCCAATAGAAAACCTTTTTTACACGTATAAGTCATTGATCGACATAAACATACAAAATATTTAATCCTACTTTCAAAGATCATATAAAATGTTCAATTTTTCCTAGAATAAAAAATATTAGAAAATAAGCTGATAAACCATTGAAACATACTATCCTCCTGCTATCCTCCTCATATCAGGATGATGTACTAATTTCCTCCTGCTATCCTCCTCATATCAGGATGATGTACTGATTATCAAAAATCTAATTCGTAACCCCTGCTATCCTCCTCATATCATCCTTGATTTCAAAAATGAATTAGAATAAATTCCTACCCAATTCTCGAACTTCCATGTTTAATTGCTTTCGGCTTTCATATATGTCCCATGGCTCGCTTAATCCCCATCAGGTTAGCTCGTTTCTCTCCGATGACCTTGCCGAATAGACTTTTGTGGCATTCTGCTACAGTCGCTTGCACATCCCTATCTTCTATATCGATTATCTCGTTTTTCACCGAAGATAAGGAGAAAGCCCTTAATCGATTCACCACCTCCGCAGTTGGATTGGCCTCCTGCTCATCGGCCATGATCCCTAATTCTCTGCTGCCTTTGAAACCATCTCAAAACATGTGGAATTGAACTGTTAAGGTTGCATGCCACTGCCACTGGGACAGTCACCTTTTTTACATATTTGAATGAATGATTTGTATTATTATTAATTAATGAACTCTTACAAAATATGCCAATAGAAAACCTTTTTTACACGTCTAAGTCATTGATCGACATAAATATACAAAATATTTAATCCTACTTTCAAAGATCATATAGTTCAATTTTTCCTAGAATAAAAAATATTAGAAAATAAGCTGATAAACCATTGAAACATACTATCCTCCTCATATCAGGATGATGTACTGATTATCAAAAATCTAATTCGTACCCCCTGCTATCCTCCTCATATCATCCTTGATTTCAAAAATGAATTAGAATAAATTCCTACCCAATTCTCGAACTTCCATGTTTCATTGCTTTCGGCTTTCATATATGTCCTATGGCTCGCTTAATCCCCATCAGGTTAGCTCGTTTCTCTCCGATGACCTTGTCGAATAGACTTTTGTGGCATTCTGCTACAGTCGCTTGCACATCTCCATCTTCTGTATCGATTATCTCGTTTTTCACCGAAGATAAGGAGAAAGCCCTTAATCGATTCACCACCTCCGCAGTTGGATTGGCCTCCTGCTCATCGGCCATGAACCCTAATTCTCTACTGCCTTTGAAACCATCTCGAAACATGTGGAATTGAGGATTATTCCCCTGAACTGGATAAACTAGAAAGGATGAAATTCTACGATAACAAATTTAACTTCCGATGAGAGAAAATCAAGTTAAGTTTAATTAAATTTTATGTTATGATGTAACTGGATTTTAATTGCTCACGACACTCTGTTTAAAAATATCACTCATACCGGAAAACATTAATTAGTATGTTTCAATGGTTTATCAGCTTATTCTCTAATATTTTTTATTGAACATTTTATATGATCTTTGAAAGTAGGATTAAATATTTTGTATGTTTAAGTCGGTCAATGACTTATACGTGTAAAAAAGGTTTGCTATTGGCATATTTTGTAAGAGTTCATTAATTAATAATAATACAAATCATTCATTCAAATATGTAAAAAAAAGGTGACTGTCCCAATGGCATGCAACCTTCACAGTAGACCATAAAGCTAGTCTAGTTTTAGTGCAATATGGGCAACAAAACAAGACTCTGCAATGACACTGTAAGATAATTAATTGATTAATGTACAAACTAATTAAATATTCAAATTTCTGTCCTTGTTTCTTGGTTGGCAACCGTCTTTTTTTTTTAATGGGCAGTCACAGTTAAAATATGTAAGTATATATTCCAAACCAGCTCTTGTGGATAATAATTTAAATGTTGGAAGTCTTATTTATATATTAAAAGAACTCAATAAATTTGTATGATAGGAAAAAAATATTAATTTATTATATAATTAAAGAAGTTGAGAACTCAATTAAATTGAAATTACAAAAATTAAAATAAAATATTGAATACTCATCTCTTCTGTGGTCGGGTATGCCTTTTTCTATTTGCCTCACTCATTATTATAACCTCTCTCTACAGTACTCTTCACTCGTCGTCTTCACCTATATATTTCTTCATATATAAGGACTTCCAAGCGTTCCAAGTGACCTTCCCTCCCATCACATATCTTCTAGACTGGAGAAACCTACTCCCTACACACTGGTCCTGGCGCCCGTGGCTCGTCTCAGCCATTCTTTCGCTGATTGTTGCAGAAATTGTCTTATTCACATCTGCAACATCTTTGACAAATAATAGGTTTAAAATCGATGGCCCGTCACTTTTCTATTATATCGCACATCGTGTTGCCCAGCTGTACATATTTGTCTATTTGCTATTCCAAGTTTACCTCGCTTGCAGATGGAGTCTTGAGTCTCCCGAAAGAAGAGAAATATCCGCCATTATATTTCTGGACATCTTCTTTATCATTGGGTGCATCTGGCTCGGTTCCATCTTCACTGATATTGGGTCGATTGGTTTCATTTTTAGTGCAATGATTCATGTTATTTGCGTCTCTAATGTGTTCATTATATATATTTGAAAATGTGGGGTTCTATGATCGCTTAGCCGCAACATTTGGTTTAGGCATATATGTGGCATGTGATGAGAGTATGAACAAATTCTTTTCCTTAGCGGATATGTGATGAGAGTATGAACAAATTCTTCTCTTAGCCATATCCGCATCCTTTTGCTTCCCAAGTTTTAATTAAACACGCGAGCGACGAAAACCTGCATCGTTCCAGGCTGGCAGAGATGAATGAATCACAAAATAGGGCGGTTGAAGAGGTCTACTGTAACAGCCCATCAACCCGTAGTAGAATATTGTCCGCTTTGGGTATACACCAGATCATTTCCTCACGGTGATGCCTTTGGGAGCTAGCTCACCAAAACGCGTCCTACTAGTGAAGGTATCAACAACCTCTTATAAGGCATGCTTCGTTCTCCTTCAACCGATAAGGGATATCTGAATCCACCCCCCTTGGAGGGCCCAACGTCCTCGCTGGCACATCGATCCGGGTACTGGCTGTGATACCACTGTAAGAACCCAGTTAACCCAAAGCGGACAATATCCTACTACGTGTTAACTGGGCTGTTATAGGTAAAGAGTACTGTAGAGAGAGGTTATTAACAAATTTTAAAAAATAAAAATTACAAATAAGAAATAACATACAAGCAGACATCGTAATTTTATTTCAAATTTTAAAAAACTTACAACGTTATTAATTCTATTTACTGTGGTAAAGAATCCTGAAATATTGATCACTTCTCTAAGAGGAATCAGCTTCCTGTGAGGGCATAAAAACACAAGTAAAAAAGTATACAAGCTTTCGAACAACGATAAGAAGAAACTAAATCCCTGATTTTTACATGAAGATATTAGTTTGGATACACGTGTACCATAATATGAGATTAGTTGTGAAAATGAAGATAACAATCAAACAAATCATTTTCTCCTGTTTCTTTTCAATACATTTCAGCTACCTAATTTTCATAAATGAAACCATTAAAGAAGTTCATGATAATAAAGAGAATAAATAAACAAAATACTCACATTATATATGTTAATATCAACAATAA